GAACAAATTATGATGTCAGATAAACAACTACCGCCAATGGTTGTTTCCATTTATTTTTAAGAGACCAGCATTTGATTACCCAGAACACAAGCAGGCATGCACTTGGCAGTGTTTTCCCTACCCAGCTATTGTGGTGCCTTGTAACGGTGCAGCCATGGCCAGTCACCCTGGTTCCTTCTCTTGGAGCCTGCTACTGCTTCTTCTTCGGGTGGTTCTGCCTGATCAGGACGCTGGCTTAATCATTAAAATGGAAGGTATGGCTGTTCACTAAAGATTTATCTCTATCAAACTTGAATGAACTGGAATGAAATATTCTTTATTACTAAATTCTAGATTGTGGTCTTTGTCTCCTCAACAGTTTCTTGATTTTTATTTTTTAAGAGACAGGGTCTTGCTCTGTCACCCAGGCTGAAGTGTAGTGATGCCATCATAGCTCACTGTAATGAACTCCTGGGCTCAAGTGATCCACCTGCCTCAGCCTCCCAAGTAATTTGGACTACAGGCACATGCTACTATGTCTGGTTAATTTGATTTTTCTTTTTTTTTCTTTTTTTTTTTTTACAGGAGAAAAAATGAAGAGAAGCTACTCTTTCCTTTTTGGCAAGCAAGCAATCTTTCCTTAAATTATTGGGTCACCATATAGATTTCCAAATTATTGTTACTTTTGTTTCATCAGCTGTTTTTTTTTTCCTTCTAGTTATAAATGATTTCATCAATTACCTTAGCTCTTCTCAATAAACTTTCATTTACATACCTTCTCATTATTTTACTGTTGCTTTATAATGCCTCTGGCCTTTGCTAAGTATGGTACTTCGACAACAAGATATTTTTTGGTTTTGTATTCAACAGTTTCTTTTGCAGTTCTTATATTTTCTGACTGATTATACTTTTAGGTGGTGCTATGGTGTGAATGTGTCCCCTAAAGTTTTGTGTTGGAAACTTCATCCCCAATGCAACAGTTTTGAGAGGTGTTTGGATCATGGGGACCTTTGAGAGGTGTTTGGATCATGGGGGACAATGCCCTCATGTATGAATTAACAGCATTATCTCAGAAGCGTGTTAGTTATGGCAGAAGTAGATTTCTGATAAATGAATCAGTCTGACCTTCCTTCTCTCCCTGCTCTCTCACACTCTCTTGCCCTTCCACCTTCTGCCTTGAGATGACACAACATGAAAGCCCTCACCAGATGTCAGCACCATAATCTTGGACTTTCTCGCCTCCAGAACTGTGAGAAATCAATTTCTTTATAAATTACTCAGTCTGTGGGATTCTGTGATAGCAACACAAAATGGACCAAGACAGGTGGCCTATATGTTGAATAACTGATTTTAAAATTTTTTGTTATGTAAACTTCCACTCTGATATATATATGTGCAAAATTTAAGTACATTGTCAAAACAGAAAAGTAACCTTTTCCATCTTAAATGATTAATATCCATATAATACTCAAGTGCTATAAATCTCTCTTTAAAAGTTCTTCTATATTCTCTTTCTAATTTTGAATCAAGGGCTGAAAATTAATTCAATAGGCTAGCTTTTCTTAATATATCAAGTGAGTAAGCATGTTTACACGTGTTCGTTTTCTTATGGCCTGCAGGAGTTGGTAGGAAATAAAAGGTCCAAAATAAATAGATTTTGGTGGACATATTAGTAGAAGCAGGTTATGTGAGATACAACAAAGTGAAAGAACCTCTTCGTAATTGGAAGCTTTTGGGTATTGATGGACTGATCAAAACAGGCGAGGCTGGCAGGAAGCCTGTGGTGTTTCTAGATTTGTGGCAGTGTAGGAAGCTAGAATTTGGCTGATGGGTAGGAGAGTTACTGGGAAATGAGCTAAGCTTGCTGTCAGGAATTATTAAGTGAAGGGGTTTACAGAACAGTAACTTGGAGCTGGATTCTCTTAAAGAAGTCTGCGCCCAGTACCAAAGGAACTAAAGGAAAGGGTGGGGATAAGGGAATGGGGCCACAATCTGGGTGGAACATGGTCTCTTCTCCTATAGGATGATCTGGAAGGCTGTGGAGCAACCTGAAGTCCCCAGACACACATGGGAAGGGAGGTGTGTGGAAGGCATTGAAGAGAAACATTGCTACTTTATAATTTTATCTGGTTACAAACATTTAAACGGTTTAAATTTACAAGTATTTAAACAGTTTTCTGCTGTTATGTGTTTGTGTTTACAGTAACTATTTAAAATCTACCAAAGCACCAATTAACAATTTATTCCACTCTCTGGTTTCTTTCTAATCTAATTGCTCTGTCCCTATAAAGTGTCAACATTATAGATAAATACAGTATTTTCTCACAGACACATCTATTTGGAGACTTCTTACGGATAGCGTTGAGTGCCAAGGTTACCATGAGTATGCAAACATGAGTTGACCAAGAAAAGTGATTTTCATCTTGTTTTCCCAAAGGGATATTCAAAATGCATAGGGTAATATCAAGTAATTTCTCTTTAATTAAAAGTAAAAAGCATCCTGTGTAAGAAATTTGACTAAAATAAAATTCGAATACTACTGGAGCTAAACTAGAGGCAATTTATTTAAAAACATCTGAAAATGTTGACAGTGCTACATTTGGGTTCTAAGAGCAATCATTTTCACTCACATGTGGACACAGCATAACAGGTAAATGGAAATATGAGTCAAGAAAAATAAATTAATTTTATCTTAGCCATGTACACAATTTAGAGAGTCTGCATCAACTAGATAGTTTCCTCATAACTTTGTGTGTGTAGTCGAACACCTGGAGAAAAATAGCTCTTTGATAATTTGGAGCATTACTTTTGAGTAACGTTCAGATAGCTGAGTCAGAATGTTTTCTCATCAATCCAAAAGCTATTGTTCACTGTTGACTAATTAGTTCTAGCTCTTGGCTAACTGGGGATCAACATCCACTCCCTTTATGGTTTCAAAGGAAATAGGGAACAACATTTCCTTTAATTATCAACAGTATCTTAGGCTTAATCACAGAACTACTTTATTTGATATGGGACAAATCCCTAAAGTAAAACACAACATTTATTGGACTAGTAAAGAAGAAAATGTTGGTATTAACATGTATTCATGAAAATGTGTTTCCACGCTGCCAAGAGATGGACAAAGCATACTGGGAAAAACTTATTTTCTATTACTAACTTCAGATTTATTTTTCAAACTATGAGCTTGTCTTTCATCACCTAACCAGCTCCACCTTCTTTTTTCTTTTTTTTTTTTTTTTTTTGAGATACAGTCTGGCTCTGTCGCCTGGGCTAGAGTGCAGTGGCCGGATCTCAGCTCACTGCAAGCTCTGCCTCCCGGGTCTACGCCATTCTCCTGCCTCAGCCTCCCGAGTAGCTGGGACTACAGGCGCCCACCACCTCGCCCGGCTAGTTTTTTGTATTTTTTAGTAAAGACGGGGTTTCACTGTGTTAGCCAGGATGGTCTCGATCTCCTGACCTCGTGATCCGCCCGTCTCGGCCTCCCAAAGTGCTGGGATTACAGGCTTGAGCCACCGCGCCCGGCCCAGCTCCACCTTCTAAGTGAAGTATTTGATCATGCCAGTCCAGAGATGTCACTCTTCTCAACTACTGAGCATTCGTTGCCTCTACACATTCATACTTCCTTATGATATTTACTTTTTCCTCCCTTTAAAAATACTTTTTTTGACTGAGCCTAGCTCTGCTGCCCAGGCTGGAGTACAGTGGTGCAATCTTGGCTCACTGCAACCTCTGCCTCCAAGGTTCAAGGGATTCTCCTGCCTCAGCCTCCCGAGTAGCTGGGATTATAGGCGTGTGCCAACATGTTTGGCTAGATTTTGTATTTTTAGTAGAGGTAGGGTTTCACCATTTTGGCCAGGCTGGTCTCGAACTCCTGACCTCAAGCTATCCGTCAACCTCGGCCTGCCAAATTGCTGGGATTATAGGCGTGAGCCGCCGCGCCCGGCCTCCTCCGATTTTTTTGTATTGTAGTAAAATACACACAAAATTACCATCTTAACCATTTGTAAGTGGCAGTGGCATTCAGCACATTACCACTGTCGTGGAACCATCACCACCATCCATCTCCATAACTCTTTCATCTTGCAAAACTGAACTGCCCAATCACACTAACTTTTTTTTTTTTTTTTTTTTTTTGAGACAGAGTCTCGCTCTGTGGCCCTGGCTGGAGTGCAGTGGCCTGATCTCAGCTCACTGCAAGCTCCGCCTCCCGGGTTCACGCCATTCTCCTGCCTCAGCCTCCCGAGTAGCTGGGACTACAGGCGCCCACCACCTCCCCCGGCTAGTTTTTTGTATTTTTTAGTAGAGACAGGGTTTCACCGTGTTAGCCAGGACGGTCTCGATCTCCTGACCTCGTGATCCGCCCGTCTCGGCCTCCCAAAGTGCTGGGATTACAGGCTTGAGCCACCGCGCCCGGCCCCACACTTACTTTTTATGAGGTCTAAATAATTTCTTATTATTCTTATCACTCCGACATTGTAAGCCCTGTGCATGTGGCACCCATGTATTAGTTATAACATACATACAGGGTATCTACTACTAGGCATTGTTCTAAGTGCTTTGCAAATGTTAACTGGCATAATTATTTATCTTTGTATGTTCTGCAGGATCTGGCAGGTGCTTTGCACGTGAGAGCCAAAACATTTGAGGAATGAATTTCGGTACCACTTAAACATTTCCCAGTGACTCTGGCTGTTATTCTGGTTGACAAGTTAGGAAAGGAGCAGGTTACCTTGGGGAAAACAACTTTCGGGGCGTAATCTGATATTAGGTCGCAAGTTTAAAGAAGTCCTTTATTTTAGCCACATTTAGGCCAGGTTTCTAATAAGGGAAGCTAAGAGGGAAGTTATTCCTAAATGATAGAGAATATAGGAAGTGACTCAAGGCAGTTAAGGTCTTGGCTTTCTGGGAGCACCGGGTTCTACTTCATGAAGACTCGGGCAACGCGGAGACCCAGGGATGGGACAGCCTGGCATCTGTCCGCCGGGTAGCGGGCGGGGGCGGGGCTCCGGGCAGGGGCGGGGCCGGGCTGGGCCGGCCGGGGCGGGGCGCGCGACTGCTCCGGGCGGCGATGGCGGCGGACGGGGACTGGCAGGATTTCTATGAGTTCCAGGAGCCGGCCCGGAGCCTCCTGGACCAGGAGAACTGTAACGCGAGCCCCGAGGCCGGGGCGGGGGCGGGGGCCGGGGCCGGGGCGGGCGGGGGCGCCGACGGTTTCCCGGCCCTGGCCTGCAGCTTGGAGGAGAAGCTGAGCCTGTGCTTCCGCCCCTCGGATCCGGGCGCCGAGCCCCCGAGGGCGGCCGTGCGGCCCATCACGGAGCGCAGCCTCCTGCAGGGGGACGAGTGAGTGCGGGCCCTGGCCGGGAGCGGGCGGGAGCCTCCCCTGCCCCTCGCCCGACCCGCTGGCCCTCCGGCCGCAGCTCCTCCCCGCGCTCTCCTTCCGCCTCCATGGACGCGGGAGTCCCCGCCCTCTCGCCTCCCTGCCCTCTCGCCTCCCTCCTCCGGCCGTCGGCCTCTGCTCGCCCAGCGATTTAAATCCCCTGCCCCCGCCCGCCAAGCGCCCTGAAAACCTCCGCCTCGGTGCCTCCCGCCCTCCTTCCTGCAAACCAAACCCTCGTTTGCTTTAGAGGGGAATCGCCAATGCAGAGCCATAGTTTGAGACGGCACTTCCTGGGGCACGTGTGTCGCCATTCATTCACTCAAGTCGCATTTATTAAGCACCTGCTGAGTGCCAGGCGCCGCTTCGCACAGGGAACACCAAAACGACTGGACATTGTCCCTCCCAAGTTAGGACACGACGTAGGATGGGAGATAGATGTGTAAACAAATATTTGTATGGATGTAATTAGTGCTGCAATGGTTATATGTACCAAATGTGGGAGACTTAAAAGCGTATGTCTGGGGGAGAGTCAGGAAAGACTATAGAGAAATGTGCAAACGAGATCTGACTGATGAGTGGGAGTGTGCCTGGCAGGTGGAAAAAAGTAACGTTCAAGGTGGAGTATATTGCCTGTGCATAAGTACCAACGAGCGAGGCAGCATTTAGGGCACAGGAATCTGTGGGACCCATCCGAGAGCCCTGGTAGAGTGCGAGCCGCCACAGAGACGAAAACGAAGGGCCCTGTTTACTGATGGTAACGATCTCATGGGCTGGTGGGGAGACCAAGGCATACACAAGTAATATTAATAATTACAGAATCACCTAAGTGCAATGATAGGAGGTTCATGGGGATTTGTGAAAGCTGGGGGAGGGGAGGCGCAGAGTTCCTGAGGGCACTTTTTAAACCTCCCTGAGCCGCAATTATAATTTGGTTAAGAGTTGTAATTAGGTACCATGGTTTTACCCCCAAAAGTTGGTAAATAGGAATGGTGAGAGTAAGGGGACTTGAGCATGTTGTGTATATGGGGGGAAAGGAGCCTCTGGAGAGGCTGAAGGTAAAATGAGTGGAATAAGATTGGGTGCGGTGACTCACACCTGTGATCCCAGCACTTTGGGAGGCTGTGGTGAGAGGATGGCTTGCTTCCAACATTTCGAGACCAGACTGGGCAATATAGGGAAACCTGGTCTTTACAAGAAAATTTAAAAAATTAGTGGAGTCCAGTGGCGCATGCCTGTGGTCCCACGGACCCAGCTGCTCAGGAGGCTAAGGTGGGGGGATTACTTGAGTTCCGGGGGCGAAGGTTGCAGTGAGCCGTCATTGCACAGCTGCACTCTAGCCTGGGTGACAGAGCGAGACTTTGTCTCAAAAATGAGGACATGAGAAGGAATGGATTTTCAGAGCATTAATGGGATGGAGAGACTCTTAGAGGTTAGGGAAGAAGTTTTGAAAGACAGGGCAGGAGTTACAGGCATGGAAAGGAGTTTCCAGCCTGATTGTCTCCTTTCTTCTGTGAAACAAACAGATTTATCAGGAATAAGGTAGGAAGCTTGAAAAGACAGCTTTGGGAGTGGGGCCTGTAAACATGGCTGAGCAGCGGCGCAGACCCACCTGTGTTTGGAGACTATCTCCTTTTATTGGTTCCGTTGTACAGTGTTCTGCCCAGGTGTGGAGAAGGGAAAAATTTATAATTGGATTTTATACACACGTGCATGCAGTCAGTAGCAAAAGATGACATTTTTGGAAGCCTGTTTCCAAAGAGAAGATAATTTTATGTATATGTAGATTTAGATACTCTGAATCACTAAACCCGGGACACATTCTGGATTTAAAAATTAGTGTAGGTTTATTATGTATTTGGGTTTATCAAGAGTAGCTGACTTAAATCAATTAGAGGATTGTATGTAGATCATTACAAGTCTTTATTTCACTTAGACTGTCAGGAAAGTAGGTTATTTTAGCCTTTGCTTAAAAATATGTTGTTGCTCTTGTTAATGGTATTTAGTAGATGGTATGTTGGTGGTAATTCATGTCTCTTGACTTGGGAATGCATAAGAAATCTCTGTTTTTTTTCAGGAGTTGGGAGCTGGTCATCACTGGCATTGTCCCTTTTATATTACAGAAACATACTCAGCATTGCTTGATAGTCTGTTCCAGCTCCCTTTTCACTAGATAGAATTGATAATTGTTTTACTCAGATATTGCTGTGCTTTAGGTCAGGGGGTCCCCAAACCCTGGTCCACAGACCAGTACTGGAACTGGGCCACACAACAGTGAGTGGTTGAGTGAGTGAGCAAAGCTTCGTCTGTATTTCCAGCTCCTCCCCATTGCTTGTATTACCACCTGAGCCACCTCCTGTCAGATCAGCCGCAGCATTAGGTAGGATCTAATAGGATTTAGAACTGCGCAGGTGAGGGATCTAGTTTGCAGATACCTTATGAGAATCTAATGCCTGATGATCTGTCACTGTCTCCCCTCACCCCCAGATAGGACCATCTAGTTGCAGGAAAACAAGCTCAGGGCTCCCACTGATTCTACATTATGGTGAGTTGTATAATTATTTCATTATATATGACAATATAATAATGTAAATAAAGTGCACCATAAATGTAATGTGGTTGAATCACCCCAAAACCGTCCCTGACCCCTGGCACTTTATTTAACTTCTCTGAGCCTCAGCTTTTGTTTTGGTTAAGTATGGATTGTATTATCTACTGAGGTTTTACTTGTAAGAGTATTCTGCAGGATTCAATGTTGGTAGGACTTTGACCTCCTTGCAAAAGAGCTCTCCTGACCATTGTTTAAAACTGGTTGTAATGCTTTATGATAAAGATGAAGGCAGTTCATATGTCTTGACTGCAGAATTCTAGAAATCTTTCACTAGAGTTGCCTCTGTGTCCTTCCAGCTACCATTGTTTTGACCTTGGTGGAGACTGTTAATTGGCTTTCATTTTCTTGGAAGAGCAAAGTCACCGACAGGTGCTTCTAAGTGAAGTATTCCTTCCCATTTGCCTTTTTCTTATAGCCTCGTTTGAGAAGGAGCGAATAAGCAGACAAAGCAAATGCCTCAAATTCTGGATTGTCTTCACCTGCTTGTGTATTCTACTCAAGTTCCTGACCAGGATTAGTTCTATAGTCAGTGATACGGTTTGGCTGTGTCCCTGCCCAAATCTCAACTTGAATTGTAGCTCCCAGAATTGCCACGTGTTGTGGGAGGGATCCAGGGGGAGGTAATTGAATCATGGGGACTGGTCTTCCCTGTGCTATTCTCGTGATAGTGAATACGTCTTACAAGATCTGATGGGCTTATCAGGGGTTTCAGCTTTTGCTCCTTCCTCATTTTCCCTTGCTGCCGCCATGATTCTCAGGCCTCCCCAGCCATGTGGAACTGTAAGTCCAGTTAAACCTCTTTTTCTTCCCAGTCTGGGGTATGTCTTTATCATCTGCATGAAAATGGACTATACAGTCAGTTATTCAGTGTTTGAAAATTTCTTACCCAGGAGGGTATGAGCCAGAAACCCAGCAAGTTTAGCAGTCTGCAGACATTGCCTCTAATTCTACTTCATTGGCATTAGAGGGGATATGATTCCAACAGAGAGGAGAATAGGAATGGACCATGCATATGGGAGATTTGCTGGGTAAATGAGTTAGTTCTCTAGAGCTTTTTGGGTTCACATTTTTATTGAGGCTAATTTTATTTTTTATTTATATATTTTTAGAGACAAGATCTTGCTCTGTCACCCAGGCTGGAGTACAGTGGTGCCATCATAGCTCACTGTAGCCTTGAACTCCTGGGCTTAAGCAGTCCTCCTGCCTTACCCTCCCAAAGTAGCTGGGACTGCGGGCACATGCCATGGGCCTGGCCAATTCAATTTTTTTTTTTTTTTGTAGAGCTATGGGTCTCCCTTTTGCTGCCCAGGCTGGTCTTGAACTCCTGGCTTCAAGCAGTCCTCCCACTTTGGCTTCCCAAAGTGCTGGGATTACAGACATGAGCTAGCAGGCCTGTCCCTAATGTGCATTTTAAAGCCAAACATCGTTTGGGATGTTATGCTTTTAGCAGTTGCAGTCCTATGCTGCTGCTTTTTAGCGCCCAATCCCTATTTGTTAACTATGTTATGTCTGTATTTTAACATTTTCATTCTTGGGCTTAATACCTAGGTGACGGGTTGATAGGTGCAGCAAATCACCATGGCGTCCTGCAATGTATCCCGGAACTTAAAAAAAATTTCATTCTTATGTTTATGTCCCAACCAGGATTGTTTTTGTATCTTAGTGTCTACGCACTTGGAAAGAATTCACAATTAGATACCTAATATACATTTTAGGGTGTTTTTTCTACGTGACATCTTTGTGTATACCTCTAGCTAGTAAGTAGCTCATCTGCTTAGTGTTTGACTTTACTTATCCCAATTAGATTTCAAGTCAATTGCATCTCTGAACTTTAATTTTTCTTAAAACATCATGTTTTATTGTGCCGATTATTACTTTAGTATTGAAACCTGAATTTTGGTCATGAAATTTGAGTTAGGTGTTCTTATCTGGTGTGCTTTGGGAATCTCTTCAATACAGCTCTTTTGAATTAATGCTTAGAGTAATGGAGCTGGAAGGAGTGTCTGCTTCTTGCCCAGGTCTCTCATTTATAGAAGGGCAGAGGATACCTAGGGAGGTTAAGGGGCTTGGCCAATAACCCGTTGTTTGAAGAAGGATGGAGACAAGCGTTTGTTTCCCTAGTCTCAGTCAAATGCCCTTTCCATTTTACCCTCTTGCCTCCCTGTAATGCTGTTGGATAATAAGGTCAGGTAACTGCATTGGATAGAGCCTGTGTGCATTTTATTGTGAACTCCCTCTCCTTCTCCTTTTCATCGTATCTGCCTTAGTGCTTAGCTTCTTTATTACGAATTAGATATTAAATCCTGTTCTCACATTGAGAGTGAATTCTTTCTCCAGAAAAGATAACAAACCTTTTGTTTGAGAGAGATTTTTCACTTTTTGAAATGGTCTGTGTGTCTGAAGTTACAGAAGAAAAAGAAGTGTAATGCACAGTTGTATTTATTACTCATGTGACCCTGGAAACATTTCTTACCTCCCTGTGTTTCAGTTTTTTCATCTGTAAAATGAGGATAATAATGGTTCCCCCTTCTAATGTTGTTTTTGAAGATTACATGAGTTAATACATGTAAATTGCTTAGAACAGCGCCTAGCACCTGATACAATGGAAGTGTTGCCTGTTGCCTATTGGGAGTTTTCTGTACGCCTTCACCTTCCCTTAGGACTTCTTGTCAGCCCAGTTTTGTGATTTTTCACCTAGTTTTTGTTTAGGAGACTCTACTTTGTTGATGTTTTTCTGAGAAACAATGTGCTTTCTGTTTTTCTCCTTTGACATTTTGGTGATCATATTTCACTGAATATTTGTTTAAGAAAGACGTACAGAATGTTAATTTTCATTGATTGTAGCTTTCTTCTTTTTAAGGATTTGGAATGCCCTGACGGATAATTATGGGAATGTGATGCCTGTAGACTGGAAGTCGTCGCATACTAGGACCTTGCACTTGCTTACTCTGAACCTCTCAGAAAAAGGGGTAAGTTAGGAATTGAACCAACAGAGTTTGAATAACTCATGCTGGGAATACAACTAAAACAGCAGCATTTCTGCTTAACTCAGATTCATTGACTTGCCTCTCATTTCTGAACTTATGGCAGTTGGGGTGGCTCCGTCATGCTGTCTTGGCTCTAGGGCTGTTACCTCGCTGGCACATTCCTCCAGTTCTTCTCCAGCACACTCACTTTTGTATGTGTAGCTAAATTTCTATCGCAATTTTTTTTTTTTTTTTGAGATGGAGTCTCACTCTGTTGCCCACACTGGAGTGCAGTGGCTCACTGCAACCTCTGCCTCCCGGGTTCAAGCAATTCTCCCACCTCAAACTCCTGAGTAGCTGAGATTACAGGCATGCACCACCACGCCCGGCTATTTTTTGCATTTTCAGTAGAGATAAGGTTTTGCCATGTTGGCCAGCCTGGTCTTGAACTCCTGACCTCAGGTAATTCACCTTGGCCTCCCAAAGTTCTGGGATTATAGGCGTGAGCCACTGCGCCTGGCAGTGATGATGCACTGAAACACTCAGTACAATTTTGATGCACTGAAACACTCAGTAAAAATGCTAGCCTTTGGTTTAATATACTGAGGGTATTGGAATCTCAACATGGAGTTAACTTTTGAATGAGTGTAGTGACCTGCTAGACATGATATGTTGTCAGGAGACTATGCATTCCTGTGAATACTGGAGAACCTTTAAAAGATACTTTAGTTCTTGGCTTTTTAAATATGGTCTTGGCTAACTTATCTTTCTTGAGGGCTCCTGTGTATGTCCTGGTATTATAAAGTAAAGATGCCTTGACTAAGAAGTGTGAGCACAAGTGATAGGACAGGTTGGGGGCAGAAAAGGGCAGAGAATTACTTGAAATGCAAAATCACAGTGTTAACTTTGTTTAAGCTGTCGAGAAACATAGTCAAGTTATCTAAATTTCAGGCTGTTTAAGTTCCTTATCAAATAATAATGTAAACTCATGCCAGATCTTGCGTGCTCTGTATTTCATTAAGTGTAATTATGTGATTATTGGGAGTGTAGTGCAGTAGGCCTGTCAGTATTTTAAATAGTATTGTTAATGTTTTGTTAAAAGGATTTTCTTATATATGTAATCAGAGAAGCCTACTGTTATTATTTTCTAGTAAAATGTAGAATTCTGGCTATATTTCCCAGTATTCAGTAGCGATGGAAATCTTCCTGACTGTGCCAATCATTAATCCCATTAGGCTTTGCAGACTGACCTGGCATACATTTAATGAAAAGGAACAAAATGAGGGATCTTTTGCTCTGTCTTATGTTTACTTAGGTCCTGACTATCATTTTGGGCTTAGTTCAAGTTTCCCTTCCTCTCTGAAGCTTCCTATTACTGTTTTAGCCTTCGCTGATCTCATGGAATTATACAATGTTAGAGTTGGAAGGGGCTTTAAAGGACACTTAATCCAGCCTCTCACTTGGGGGAAATCCCCACCTCCAGCATCTCTGACAGATGGTCATTTAGCCATGGCCTAAATCCCAGCACGGAAGGAGAACACACTCCGCTCTGTGGGAACTGATGGCACTTGTGGGGCTGTGAACTTGGAAAGGACTTATTATCTGTGCCACGGGGTTTAGCCTTGTTGTCTCATGGGTGCTAGTCCCCAGAGCACTTTGTCCCTGTCTCTAAAATGACCACTGCCTTCTCTTGTTAATCATATGTTTCTGGGTGTGTCACTAGATTGTGACTTCCCGGCAGGCATTTATATTTGTCGTTATAGTAACTATACTGTTCCTGGCACATAGTAAATATGAAGATACCTGTTTATTGAGTGAATAAGTGAGTAGCCTTATTGGTGAAACTGTAGGGCCAGAGATCATGATAGAAAGGTTGTAAAAAAATATTTTCTATATTATTTAAAATAATGCAGAATGCACCGAAACCAGTCCATGGGTACTACTTTTTTGACATATTAAAAATAGCATAGAAGAGTTTTCATTCATAGTTTCAAAGACAGGCCCATTAGCAGCATGAATGAGACACATTTATCCAATTTCATTGACTAAATGTACAGTGGGCGCACTGTGTCCTCTGGTTTCACATCTGCGCTTTAGCCAACTGTGGATTCAAAAACTTGAAAAAAAAAACCCCACAGTAAAATAACAACAATAAAAAATAATAAAAATAAAAAACCAATACAATATAACAACTATAAACCATTTACCTTGTATTAGGTATTGTAAGTAATTTATATATAATTTAAAGCTTACAGGAGGATGTGCATAGGTTATATGCAAATACTACCCCATTTTATATAAGGGACTTGAGCATCTGCAGATTTTGGTATTAGGGTATCCTGGAACCAATTTCCCATGGATACTGAGGGACTGCTGTATATCTTGTATAAGTCGCTCCCTTTTGCTGCCTTTTGAATGTTATTTTCAATGCCAGGGTAATGATACAGCCAAGGTAGTGATTAGTAATGCTGTAGAGTTTAATGCTAGTGCTGACATTAAAAAGCTTTACTGGCCGGGTGTGTTGGCTCATGCCTGTAATCCTAGCACTTTGGGAGGCCGAGGTGGGTGGATCACCTGAGGTCAGGAGTTTGAGACCAGCCTTACCAACACGGTGAAACCCTGTCTCTATTAAAAATACAAAATTAACTGGGTGTGGTGGCACATGCCTGTAATCCCAGATACTTGGGAGGCTGAGGCAGGAGAATTGCCTGAACCTGTGAGGCAGAAGTTGCAGTGCGCTGAGATTGCACCACTGCACTCTAGCCTGGGTGACAGAGCGAGACTCTGTCCCCCCAAAAAAATACCAAAAACAGCCTTATCTGGAAAAACTCAGCAGATGAAAGTGAACACGTGATCATTCACCTATCATCTCTCTGTTGTGACATGACTATTCCAGTGATGAATAAGAATTGAAATTAGAGCTCTGTTTCTCAGGGAGGATTAGCACACACTGAGTTTCTGAAAAACAAATGGGCAACAAGGACTATGTAAGAAGCCACCACGTCATTCTATTACACAGCATATAATTTAACCTTTTTTTTTTTTTTTAACCTGGCAAAGTTACTGTATTTGCCATTGCCACCTGGTGCTCTATTCGTGCCATGATTAAGCTAAGTAAAATTTACCTTTTGAAAGCATTCTTTAGATTATTTTACTTATAAAACAAAGTCTATAGAAATTTTTTTTTGACAAAAGAGGAATTTTTTTTGCCTTAAAGTGAGAAAAACATTCAGAAAAACTAGTTTGCTAGATTGCAGTTGAAAATTTTTCTTTGATTGAAGATTAAGATGGCACACTTCTAAATTTGATAGGTCTTTTTTAGAGTAAGGCAACTGGTATCTTTCACATTCTTACGTGGGCACATTTTTTCCATTTGATGTATCTTCAGTTTTATACAGGGAAACAGTACCACCAGGTCTGTATCTAACCCTGGCATTGGAAGGAGTGATGGGAATGCTTGGCAAAGAGAAGGCACATTTATGCCGAATGGGAGAGTGAATAATGATACCCAGGACAGCCAGGGCTAGTTTGCAAAGCCTGAAAGGTATTCCAGCTCTTAGCATATGCCATCTCTGTGGGGAATGGAGTTGGCTCTCTCTCTGGAAAGATGATCTGGGATCATTTCTGTTGTCATGGAAATTTATTATAATAGTTTACTGTTATTACTCATGTGTTTTGGCCATAAACCTATTCTAAATCTGGTGCCATTCTTGAATATGCTTATATGATAGAATGCTTCTCATTCATTTCAGCTTAAGAACATCTTCTGTGCTGTATTTCTCCTTCCACATACATTTCTTTCAGGACAGGGACTTTTGTACACATCTTTATACCTTTAAGAGTAGAAATAAGAAAAAGATAATAACATCTTCCATAGAAGCAATTTGATTGATTGATTGATTGATAGATTGAGAGGGTGTCTCCCTCTGTCCCCCAGGCTGGAGTACAGTGGCGCCATCATAGCTCAGTGTAGCCTCCAACTCCTGGGCTTAAGCGATCTTTCCGCTCCGGCTTCCTGAGTAGCTAGGACTACACAGGAGCACTGCCATGCCTGGCTAATTTTAAGAAAAAATATTTCTGTATATTTCTGTACAAGGTCTTACTGTGTTGCTCAGGGTGGTCTTGATTTCCTGACTTCAAGAGATCCTCCCACCGTGGCATCCCAAAGTGTTGGGATTACAGTTGTGAGCCATGGCAACCTGGGCTTCCTTAGGAGTAATTTTTTTTTTCTTTTGAGACATGGTCTGGCTCTGTTGTCCAGGCTGGAGCGCAGTGGTGCCATCTTGGCTCACTGCAGCCTCCACCTCCTGGGCTTAAGTGATCCTCCCACCTCAGCCTCCTGAATAACTGGGAGTACAGGCATGTGCCATCATGCCCAGCTAATTTTTTGTAGAGATGGGATTTCACCATGTTGCCCAGGCTGTTCTCAAACTCCTGAGCTCAAGCAATCCACCCACCTCAGCCTCCGGAAGTGCTGGGATTACAGACATGAGCCACTGTGCCCACCCTGGATTAATTTTAAAATTAAAACTTTTAGTATTTATAAGCCAGAAGGGGAAAAAGAAAACAAAATCATGGTCCTCAAGCTGAAACATAGGAAGAGTGATTGGGAAGGGGGTGTGAAGTGTTTGCAGTGTAAGGATCGATGAAGCTAATCGGTAGGTCTACTCCATGATATCGACACGCCTTTGTGATAACAGTGTACCACGTTTTCATCTTCTACGACATTGAAATCATACATCCCCTCTCATCAAGAGCCTAGTCTCTTGATCTTGCTCCTTCTTTTAAACACTAAATTGTTAAAGGAACAGCTGTCATAGTTTAAAGAGTAAATTAGAACTGTAGGACTTAAATGAAAAGGCAGTCTCTGCTCCACTTACCTCGTCCTTGATTTCTCCTTACCAGAGGTGACCGCTTTAAATATCACCTATTTCTTCTAGCAGATAACATGCTCATGCCATTTTACTTGGTATTATTTTCTCAATTTTAGACTTTATTTCTTTATTTTCTACCCAGAGAGTGAAGGTGTAGCTTTCTTACTGTCCTTTGCCAACCCCTGACACCATACCCTCCCAAAAACTTCCCTTTCCCCATCTTCCCAATGTAATTACATCAACATCTGGGGTTGAATTAATCTTCATCATTTATATTTACTTTTTTAATGTGCAGTTGACCCATTTTGATATATTTAAATTTTCTCTTTTTCTACTTAGGTTTTTTCTTAGGATACTAACTGCCTTTTTGTGGTTTATTTAGTGTATAATTAGGGGACCAATGCAGCCTCAGTAGAGCCATAGAACTCATTTTGGTAAATGGACTGCACCAGGTAATCTATCTAGTCCTTCTGCTCTCCCTCCCCACCCACGTCTCCCTCTTCTCCATGCTCTCTGCAGTAACAATTCTAATCTGAGTGTTACTCTCTAGTTTAGCTTTACAGTTGTCATTCTGGGATTTTCACTTTACTATCATGATGAGAATTCTCTTTGTCACTTGTTATTAGACCACATGTCTTTTTTCTTTTTCATTTTCCTTCTGGTAGCTTTTTGAGAAAGGGCACATGAGAGGTAAGTTTTTTCAGAACTTGTATGTCTGAAAATGTCTTTATCCTAAGCCCCTGCCTACTTGTTTTAGCTGGATATAGGATTCTAGGATGCAATTTCTCCAAATATGGAAGTTACATTGATTATTTTCTAGCATCTATTGTTGCTATTGAGAAGTCACATGACATTTTCATTCCTGATCCTTTTAATGTGATGTACTTTTTTTTTTTTTCTTCTTCCCTGGAAGATTTTAGATTCTTCTTTTTTCCACATAGTGTTCTGAGTTCATGATGCTGTGTGTTGAAGGCCATGGCCAGGCTTTTGCTAGGCTGATGGTGCAATAAGAAATAAAATGAGAAGGGATGTCGTTACTGTGCAGGAGCCTGGAGTTGCACTGTAGGATTGTAGGTGGACCCTGCAGTGTTGATGGGGCTCTTCTCCCAGTCTAATGTTGGAAAGTCGACATGCCAGTGCTTCTTCCCTTGGCCCTTCTCACCTGTAGGTTTCTTACTCTGTAGGCTGTGTTCACCTGCAGACTCCAGATGCTCATGTTATGAAGAACTAGGGAAGCACTAGGGACCTACATCCACTCCATTGTGTCCTCGGCTTTAGATATATATCCTTTGCATGGGTAAATAATTTTGCCAGGTAAAAGTTTATCATTTTAGTTATACACTATGTAATAGAATGACATGGTGGCTTCTAATGTAATCCTTGTTGCCCATTTATTCTTTGGAAACTCAGTGTGTGCTAATCCTTCCTGAGGAATAGAGTTCTAAGTTCAGTTCCATTCAGCACCTGAATGGTCATGTTGTAACAGATAGGTAGATGATAGACAGATGTTCACTTGTTCATTTTAATCTACTGAGTGTTTTCAGGCCAAGTTTTTACAATCAGTACTGGTACTAAACTCTAAGTCATTATTAAGGGGGCTGTTTATATTGGTGTGGGCAGAGTTAAGGGAAACTAACTAGATGTGGTGCAGTCCCCCAGGCTGGCAACAGAAACTGGTACTTTAGCTGTCCTGGACGTGAAGAGGTAAGGAGGGGGAGAGATTACCAGAAACTGTTGAGATGGGCTGTGTTGGAGAAGTCTGCTAATGAGAGCTATGGCTTTGGTGAAGAGCCATAGTCAACAAATGACAGTCTGACAGGGAGGAAGACAGCAGAATACATGCCCAGCCCTCACCATCCCACCCTCCTGTCTCCCAGTGTCTGCCAGTAGGGTTGAACCCACCTGGAAGCCAGATAGCAAGGGCATCCTTTGATGTCCTCCTTACCTCCTGGAGCACAGAGCAGGGTGGAAGATGGTGAGGAGGTGAGTGGTGAATCACCAGCTCAGTTAGGTTTAAAGATGTTCTTGGAGCCTAGGGTTATTAGTTTTTGTTAAGAAGAAATGTGCAATTGGAAGGGCTAAGTGTGACGCTCATGGACAGATCCTTCCTTTCAGGGAGTTGATCATCTTTTACTCAAATATTAGAAGTTAGTTTGAAGTAACTAACTTTTATGTTTTCTTTAGAATGTTAACGTCTACCAGTCTTACTGTTTATTGCTAAACCTACCCATATTCTCCCTTCTATTCACTGTGAATTCCCTATGACTTGCTAACGAATACCGTATTTTTTCTGCATATCTGTCAGCTTTTATAGCAGCCTTATGCAGCGTCTTAGCGATTTCATATTTATTCTACATTCTTCTCATTTCTGTTCAAGATGAATATGTACTCATTGCCTGGTACAGAGTGATTGTAATAATTTCTCCCTCTCGAGGGAAAGCTCTCAGTAGTTGCTTTTCTCTGCAGCCTCTTTTACTCAGAGCTGTTAACTTTGTTTTGATCAGGATGTCCTGCTTTTAATGGTGGGTATTTTTGTTTTTAGGTAAGTGACAGTTTGCTCTTTGATACGTCAGATGATGAAGAGCTGAGAGAACAGCTGGATATGCACTCAATCATCGTCTCCTGTGTTAGTGATGAGCCCCTCTTCACGGCAGACCAGGTATAGAGGAGATACTCAGCAACGCAAGGAAAGGAGACTCTAGAGCTGAAAAATGGCTTCTTCTTATGACAGTAAATGATGGCTGTTGGTTTACTTATCTTTCCTATTTTTTTTCTGGTTATACAGGCTTAGTAGTTAACTCTTCCACAGAGAAAAATAAGTATTTGTGACCTGAAGCAGAAGGGATTATGTGAGTTGGGAAGATTTCCAACATAGGCCTTGTTGAAGAGTATAGCAAGGTACCAAGGAAAGGTTATTGCTTAACCCCAAACCAGAAAAATATTGTGAATTTCCTTGTTCCTTTAGATTTACCCAAACATGGACAAACTGTCAAGTATCTGTGTAGAAATTGTTTAGTATCTTCGAAACCCTGGGTAAAAAGCATTCGCATGTATTAAAGTAACATACTGTGTGCCCCAGAAAGAAGTGAGCATTATTCCCGTGGAATGTGCTAGTAAGGTCAACCCCGTATTCACTTAAAACCAGTCGAATCAGCTTTCTCATTTTCTGAATACTCTTCCCACCTCTGTTGTATTGTTGAAATGTGATGCCAGAACTTCTTCCTGAAATAAAATGTTCCATGGCTACTTGGACTGTGAATTCTACCACACTCTATTTTTAGGCTGGAAAGACAAGGTCAGTAAGGAGATACATTATGGCAAGCTTGGGAGGAGTACATTAAAAATTTACATTAAAATTGTGTTATTTGGATCCTCCGTAGTCACATTTGTGGTTGAATTGTTCTAGGCCTGGAAAGAATGTGGTGCTTAAAAAAGCAAGGTAATAGTAGGTTGGAGGGTTGTTTTGAGGTAGAGGGTAATCTAGGGATAGACACGACCTTGAGAATTCATTGTCCCCTCACTGACCTGCCTAATACCATAAACTCTCCCTGTTTTTCAGAGCTAGAATAACAGATTCTGTAGGATCCTTGAGTGGCTCATTGTGCCATATTATATTGCCTGTTTTGGAGACTCTTATTTAATTAACATAATCCCATCTCCTTCAGATTTGCCTTTATTTTTCCTTGGTGGAAATGTTACCTGTTAAACTTTTAATTCATGAAGCATGGTAAATATGCTCATGATGTCTTACTCTTTCATTTAATTGTATTTAATTTTTTTTTTTTTTGTAACTTTATCTCCTTTTTTCTAACTGTTGAGTAATTTTCCTGGCTTTCCTTTACATTTTCGCTGAGTTCTATATCCTTCTCAACTTTTAGAATCTGGAACAGGGCAAGATACTGTCATAAGATTTGAGCAGCACTGTACTAGACAGTAGATCATTGTTTCAAGGCAGATTGTGTTTCTGAAGTTTTTCTGCTTTTCACAGCATTTTTCTCTTTGGACTTCTACTTTTTAAGTAATTCAAAAAATCCCTTTATTTTTCATTGAATTAATATATAAAATTATTTTTCTGCTGTTGAAAGAATATTTTGCTGTGGTGGAGGTCATTTCCCATTTATATATACTTTTTTTGTACTATTGTATTTTCTAAATTCTATGTCAGAATTTTTGATGAGATACGTTTAAATTGAGCACTTGTATGTCTACGGTAAATTTTCTGTTATTTGCTTTCTTCTAACGATTATGATCTGGTTCTGGCGTGTCTGAAGTAAATTATTATGTGTTTGTAGCACGATTTCCTAGACTTTGCAAGACATGTTAGGGCCTTCTGAACCATGATGGACATAGTAAATCCAACTCTATTTAGGTTTGTGTTTAGTATATTGTAATTTTTTCTTGATAAACCATGTTCACTCCTACAATCAAAATTTTGATTGTTCAGAGCATCCATACCTGAACATCATTGGTTAATGGAGAATTCAGTGCATTTCTGCTCTGGGTGCCTTAGGTGAGCACCGTGTTCCAGCTAGATCATTTTCCTTTTGTTTATTTGATTAACAGTGGTATGTATGTTTTCGAAGGTTATTGAAGAAATTGAAGAAATGATGCAGGAATCACCGGACCCAGAAGATGATGAAACCCCTACACAGTCAGATCGGCTTTCAATGCTTTCCCAGGAAATTCAAACTCTTAAGAGGTCTAGTACCAGCAGTTATGAAGAGAGTAAGGGAGCCTGCTTAAATCAATGATTTCTGTGCTTTTTGTCTATATCAAATGTATAGTATGATCATCTCCAGAAAGCTTTGATTTAATCCTCCTTCTGTTTGTGTCTGTGTCCAGATTTGCTTTTTTGTTGTTGTTGTTGAGATGCGGTTTCACTTTTTGGCCCAAGCTGGAATGAAGTGGCGTGATCTTGGCTCACTGTAACCTCTGCTTCCTGGGTTCAAGCAATTCTCCTGTGTCAGCCTCTCTAGTAGCTAGGATTACAGGTGCCTACCACCACGCCCGGCTAATTTTTATATTTTTAGTAGAGATGGAGTTTTGCCATGTTGGCCAGGCTGGTCTCGAACTCCTGACCTCATGATCCACCTGCCTCAGCCTTCCAAAGTGCTGCCATTACAGGCATGAGCCACCATGCCCGGCCCCAAATTTCCTTTTATAAGGACAGCAATCATACTGTATAGAGTCTATCCTAATGACCTTATTTTAATGTCATTAAAGACCATATCTCCAAATACTGTAACATTCTGAGGTAGTAGGGGTTAGGACATCAACACATGAATCTGGAGAGGACACAATTGAGTCTATACCAAACCCCATCATATTTGAAGTGTAGAATAGATATTCAGTAATTCTTTGTCAAATGCAATTCCTGTCTATACAAATAGTCTTATGTGTTACTGTGAAGAATTTTGGGAACCATGGATCTGTTTGACGTATATGAGAATAATTAATTCTAGAAACTCTGCAGTTGATTTTCATGAAAAATTTCTGAATAACTATAACCAGCCTGTGAAGAGCCTGAGACCGGTTGGAAGGAAGGTGTGTATCTAATCATTGCCATATGACCGGTCTCCTCCTTGAGTAGGCAGTGACAGAGTCTGTATCTGCTTAACCCGTGTTGTCACCTAGTTTTATCTTTATGGCATGCCCAGTCTGAAGCTTAGTTACCTAAAGAATGTTGGTTGTATGGCTTCAACATACAGATGGTCAGACAGACCAAAGTCTTTCAGATGGTCTGATTTGACCATGCTTCTGTAGATACGGGCTAAATGGCATTAAGGTCCTGACTCCCAAATACAGTCCTGATACTTGATACAGATACTGAAATCTGTATTGGTTCGCTAGGGCTGCCAGAACAAAGTACCACAGGGTGGGTGGCTTAAACCACAGGAATTTATATTCTTACAGTTCTGGAGGCCAGAAGTCTGAGATCAAGGTGTTGGCAGGTTTGGTTTTTTTCAGAGGCCTCTCTCCATGACATGCAGATGGCTGCCTTCTCCCTATGTCTTCACATGGTCTTTCTTCTGTGTTCTGGTCACCCTATTTTATAAGAATACCGGTCATACTGGGTTAGGGCCCATCCTAATGCCCTCATTTAACCTTAATTTACCTCTTCAAAGACCCCCTCTCCACATTCTGAGGCCCTGTGGGTTGGGACTTTAACAGTGTCCTCTCTCTCACATGGGGAGAAGTGCTGAGAAAAGACTGAAATGGGGTTTCGGGGAATATTGTTCCCCTTTGTCTTCCCAGTTGTTTTAGTCCATTCTCGCACTGCTACAAAGAAATGCCTAAAACTGGGTAATTTATAGGAAAAGAGGTTTAATTGGCTAATGGTTCCGCAGGCTGTACAGGAAGCCTGGCAGCATCTGCTTCTGGGGAGGCCTCAGGGAGCTTTTACTCATGGTAGGAGGCAAAGCCGGAGCAGGCATCTTCACATGGCTGGAGCAGGAGGAAGGGGGCCTGGTGGAGGTGCCACACGCTTTTAAACAACCAGGTCGCATGAGAATTCTGTTATGAGAACAGCACCAGGGGAATGGTACTAAACTGTTAGAAATTGCTCTCATGATCCAATGACCTCCCAGCAAGCCCCACCTCCAACATTGGGGATTACATTTCAATATGAGATTTGAGTGGGGACACAGATACAAACCATATCACCAATTTTCAACAAAATTCACAGATTGGGGTGTATGTCATTAAGTATGTATTTAATTTAATTCTTTCAGATCAACTCCTTTCCTGTTCAGAGATATCCCATAACCCTGCTGAACGGCTTGCAGTTTCTTGTCAGCAGGTGGATTCTGTACTTTCCCTCTGCTTTTGTGTTTGTTCTTTTCCATGTACAAGCCTTCACAGTCTTGACTGAAGTATTATTCATGGAATGATTTATTTGCACAAGCAAAAACTTTCGTTAGACTTTCTTCCCAGCAGGCTGAGAAGTGACTCACCTGCCCACTTACCACTACTCAGACCTGCCCTCCAGAAATTTTAGAATTCTGAGAAGATCACACACAGTCAGTTTAATTGCTTGGAATATAATTTTTGCTCTTTGGCATTGATTACATAGGTGTTTATTTAGTTACTCCTAGTGACTGCTCTGTTTTGCTTCCTTGAAACGCTTTTGCCTTAATATCTGCTGTATTTTGTTTTTGGTCCTAGGAGTGAAAAGGCTCTCAGTGTCTGAGTTAAATGAAATCCTAGAAGAAATTGAGACTGCCATTAAGGAGTACTCTGAGGAGCTGGTGCAGCAGTTGGCTTTGCGAGATGAACTGGAGTTTGAAAAGGAAGTGAAAAACAGCTTTATTTCTGTTCTTATTGAAGTGCAAAACAAACAGAAAGAGCACAAAGAAACAGCAAAAAAGAAAAAGAAGCTAAAAAATGGCAGCTCTCAGAATGGGAAGAATGAGAGAAGTCATATGCCTGGCACAGTAAGTGGTGTTTTGCAGGAGGCGTCGAACGCTGGAAACAGGTTCCGTGGTAGTCCCGGCCTTCCGGGCTGGTGGCAGGTGCGACAGGTTGTACGTGGGCAGGAGTGTTGCACTTCTACTCAGAGCCCAGGGGGATTTTATTCCAGAGTACCACTGTGCTCAGTTTCTTCAGAAAGCCGTTTTCTTGACTAAAGTGTACTGGTTATCTGAATAATACTGAAATCTTTAGCAGGGAAGTAAGTGGAAGGAAGAGGGGGCAAAAAAGGAGAATGTCTTGAAAAGAAGCTTCAGCAAGTGACCGTTTTTACTACATCAGAATGTGAAGAGTGGTTATGTGTATTTGGCTAGTAATTTTTTTTTCTTATTTTTGCTGAACTCTTATGAGTCGTGTGATCAGAAATTAAAAGGGGTTTATTTAGAGGTAGCAGAACTCTGCTCAAGGCACAGATTGTTTGTAAACAGGTTTCTCCTGATTTTTCAGCGAGGTTGGAATACAAGAAGGTAAGTGACTTCAGCCATTTGGCCTACTATTTGGCAGACTAGACTGTTACCGGTGAAAACAAGTTTAGAACGTAAAACGCTGACCCTTTTGATAAGATTTTTTTGTGTCGAAGTCTTGTATATTTCTACCTTGATTTTGTTTGTGTGTGAAGAAATGTTGGTTTTATTTTTAGAGTATAATGGTTGGGTAAAGGGATCTCTTTTTCTCAATGGAACATCTCTTTTAGATTTGTGATATCAATAACATGGTCTTACAAATCACAAACTAGCTATTATGGTTTGCAATAATATGAATTCTGTTTTTGATAAAGTCTGATTTATCTAAAGAATACTTACCAGGGAAATAGATCTCATTAACCAGATGCTGATGGAATCCTGGAAATACAGTTCTAGGATGGTGGGCCACCAATGAGCAGTTAACACAAAGAGACTCTTACCATGTAGCTCATTTATTATACTGTTATTAGCCTTTGAATAAATCCATTTTTTTTAGTTTAATGTTCATTTGTATCTATTTCGAAAGGATATCACTTATACATTGACTTTGAAAAAAGTTTTCAGATATCTTATTTTTAAGAAATGGCAGTGTTGATTGAATAGGTGTTTATTTAGTCATTCCTAGTGAGTACTCTGAAAAAAAACCCAAAACCAGCCCACATTTGTTTGAATATACAATCCTAGAAAATTTGCTTTAAAATATTAGGGACACTATTTTGCATTTGCATCTCATATTTTTAGAACTGGCACCCTTTAAATTGTCCTGTTATATAAGTAGGATTAAATAAAATGCTTAGTTAAAAAGTCATAGCATGGTTGGTAATTTCTGCCTATTTGCTTTTAGGGATTACATGTAAATCCTCCATTTATTGCTGTTAACACTTGGCTGAGAAAAGTAAATTTATCCCTAGAGGGGTTTAAAGGCTTCTTTTTGTAACTCCCATGTAAAAAGGGTTAGAGTAAATCCATTGTGTAATTTTACATGGCATTTAATTGAGAAAGGATTTGGCAAGGCAACAGTTAGGTCTTACTTCAGCCTTCATTGGTCTTGAAATAGATTCATAGTAACAGTAAATATTTTTTTTTTTTTTTTTTTTTTTTTTTTTTTTTTTTTTTTTTTTTTTTTTTTTTTTTTTTTTTTTTTTTTTTTTTATTTTTCATAATATTTGAACCTTTGAAGTTGCATTTTGCCTGATTTACAATTTGTGTCAAAAATTTTAATCAGTTCAATAATGGCACGGCTAAGCTTGCAGTACTAGTTTCCTGTATCCTTTTAAAGCCTAAAATGTGGCTGGGCGCGGTGGCTCACGCCTTGTAATCCCGGCACTTTGGAAGGCCGAGGTGGGTGGATCAACCTGGCGAAACTCCGTCTCTACTAAAAAATACAAAAATTAGCTGGTTGTGATAGTGCATGCCTGTAATCCCAGCTACTCAGGAGGCTAAGGCATGAGAATCGCTTGAACCCAGGAGGCAGAGGTTGCAGTGAGCCGAGATTGCTCCACTGCACTCCAGCCTGGGCAACAGAACAAGACTCTGTCTCAAAATAAAAAAAAAAAGCCTAAAATACCAGGGAAAGACCATCCTATCTGTGACACAAGTAGCCTGAAAGTTGCTCAGAATAAACCCAAAGTGAAATGGCCAGTTGGATAAACACATTCCAGGAGCTTGCCAAACATTTTACCAAGCATTTTATATCACATACAGTCTTCACAAGACCTGGTCTCTATGAATTTACTATTATCAGTGATACTAATTCCTAAAAAATGGTGACCTCCTTAGCATTGTCATGTGTTATCTGTTTTTTAAATAACATCAGTCATTTTTTTTTTCCTACCTGAAATATTTTTGTTTTATTAGCAGGACTTGGAGTTTTTTGTTAAGTATAGAATAACTTCCTTCTGTTTTTCTTGATGTATGTTTCACTGAAGCGGTACATCAGTTTGTAGTTGGCATACCACTTTATCTAAAATTGTTACCTTGTTCTCTTTGGTCCAAAGATACTCTCATGAAATATTGCTGTGTGTATAGAGCAGAGTTAAACTTCTTAATTGTTAATTTTGGAGACAGATTTTGTTTTAAATATTTGTTGTGGTGAAAAAGAAAATAGAGGGCATAGGGATGCTATTTAGAGCATTAGAAAATTTCATTAGACCGTGAAAATATGTGAAATGTTCCAGAAAGTATTACCTGATAAAAGTGAAATATTATTTTGATTGGAGTTTTAGGTTTAAAATAATCATAATGCTGTATGTTGGGTGAGGTAAAACAGCACTCATTCATTCAGCAAGGATTTGTGGAGTGTCTTCCTGCGGCAAGTGTTCTTCAGGATACAGTGGGCAGGATGACTCATGATGATAATTCTTGCACTTTGAGAGGCTGAGGTGGGAGGATCCGTTGAACCCAGGAGTTTGAGACCAGACTGGGCAATATAGTGAGACCTTGTCTTTACAAAATAAAAATTATAAAATTAGCCAGGTGTGGTGGCAAGCACCTGTAGTCCCAACTTCTTGGGGGTCTGAGGCGAGAGGATTGCTTGAGCCCAGGAGGTTGAGGCTGCAGTGGGTCATCGTCACACCATTCCACTTACAGCCTGACCCTGTCTCAAAAGACCCTGTCTCAAACAAAAAGCAAAAAACAAAGAAAACCACAGTGGTGAATAGAATAGAATAGACAAGGCCCATCCCAGGCCTTCCTGGAGCTTATAGTCTAATGAATAGTCTAATGATGGAGAAAGGCAATAAACAAGGAAAAGAATGAATAGATGATGGAATTTTAGTGGTAAATAAAGACCATGAAGAAAACCAAAGGCTGGGTGAGGCGGTAGATAGGGATGCTGTTGGGAAGCTGTTTTGGAGAGTGTCGCTACACCACTGCTTCTCATTGACAAGGGAGGCTGCCTAGTCCCTTTCCAATTCTCAGTTGGGAGGGGAGGTTAGAGGAGTGGACCTCTTTGGGAAATGCAATTCAAGAGAATGGCAGGCTTTATAGTTCCTCTGTCCTTTTTTGCAGCATCTGGAGGAGCAGAGGATGGGGGTTAGAGAGCGGTTAAAGGGCACTGTCCATTTATCAGTGTGGTGATTTACATGTATTTCTTTGTACTGACCGTGCTGTTTTGGGTGACGCTTCTTTATACTCAGTGTTCTTCTTCTGGAATCACATTCCTTACTTCCTTCTTCTGTCCACTTGGGGGATTTTTTTTTTTCCACTCATCCTTCAAAATCATGGCCAAGCATTGTCTTCCTTTCTTAGAACCTTCCTTGATGACTCTGTCTCTGATGCAGAGTTGACTAGTCTCTCTTTTAAAGGGGGTTAGTATTATTCCTCTTCAGTATTTCTGTTATCACTGTCGTATCATACTGCAGTTTTTTGTTTTCATGCCTATCTCTGTTTTGTGTCCCTAAGGATAAGAAAGTTTACTTTCTTGGTATTCTTAGATCCAACCTTAGGTACCTAATAAATTTCTGCTGAATGAATGAGTGAACGAAAGATAAACTTGCAAATGTATATTTCTATCTTGGACCTTTCTGCCAGGTGTCAAACCCATGGACCATGAATCGAATATTGACTAAGAACTTTGGGTTAAGAGCTGTGTTTGAATCTTGGTCCTGCCAATGTTATACAGATGGCTTTGAATTTTGGAGAGATTAAATGAAATTATGTAAGATTAGCAAACATAGCAAACACCATGAGTAAATGCTAATTATTATATATGTCCAACTGCCTCCTAGACAATTCCCTTTGGATATCTTGTAGGAGTCTGAAATTTATACTGTTAAACCAAAGTTACCATTTTCCTAAAACTGAATTATTTTCCTTTGGTTAGCAAAACTAGTTTATCCACTCACTGAAACCGATAGAATTTCCAAGTCAAAGAATATACAGTTTTAAACGGCTTTAAATGACCAGCTTTTCAAATTATTCTGTAGAAATGTGGTCCAGTAAGAGCATAAGAATGGCCATTTTCCCACACCTCCCACCAACGGTGGATATTATGTGCTTTTTAATATACACCGATTGCATAGGCAAACAATGGGTTTGATCTATTGACCATTTGTATTCTTTTATGAGTTGCCTATTATGTTTATATGCCTATTATGAGATGTTTTCATATTTATTTGTGAGGGTACCCATACTTTTGATATTGAAGCACCACACTGTGTTGTAATCATTGGCTTAAACCTCTCTTCTAACAGAGTGCAAGCTCTTTAAAGGCTCATTCACACTGCTTTCCCAGCACCTCACCTCATTTCTTGTTCTTTGCACATCACTTAATGCATGTTTGTTGAATTGAAACTTCAGCGTACAGGAGATTGAATCCCGGAGGATTTAGATTTGTAGTATTTGAATTATTATTGTTCTATTGGGGATTTTTATTGGGGGAGCCAGGCTTCTGTTATATCAAACATTCACAGGTCATTGAGTTTCAGTAGCAGTTCTCATGAATACAAGAATAGGTCGAACAACACCAGGTTATGTTGTAATTTAGTAGTTGCTATTCATCT